TTGGCAAGAGCCATATTCGTCCTGTGCAACTGAACTGAACTGAACTGAACTGAACTTGTTCTAACAATTCGAAAGTAAATTATATTCCGGCGCGCTATTCGATTCATTTATCTGTAATCGGTGTCACAGCTGTTTTCCTCGCAAGATGTCTGCTCTGAAGGAGTTCCTGACAACTTTTAAGAAAGTTCCGGTCACCATGAAAGAAATGTTCCAGAGTAATCCAAACAGGTTTACGGAATTCAGGTATGCATACCTGATACACGGCTTCGGTTAATAGTGAATTAGTCACGTTCTAAAATTGGCTCATGGAAATATCCTTTTGGATTACTCTAAGAACCTTATTGATACTGAATCGTTCAACAAGCTCATCAAACTGGTTTGTTGTTCGTTATGTTGTTTATTTTTGAAGGCAAAAGATAGTAATGTGGAGAAAATGCGCGACGCAATGTTTTCCGGCGAAAAAATCAACTTCACAGAAGACCGAGCCGTTTTGCATGTGGCACTAAGAAATAGATCTAATACTCCGATATTTGTGGACGGAAAAGATGTAATTGCAATTGTTTTTCATTTCATAATTTTCAGGTCATGCCTGGTGTGAATGCCGTGTTAGCGCACATGAAGGAGTTCTGTGAACGTGTTCGCTCGGGCACATGGAAAGGATATACTGGAAAAACTATCACAGATGTCGTCAACATCGGAATTGGCGGTTCAGACCTGGTAAGCTCGAATATTGCGTTCAGGCGTGTAGCCCATTTCTGGTGAGTGATGCGAAGGCTCTAGAGGTTGTTCAAAGACGTTTGATAAGGTGGTTTGGAGGGATGAGAGAGACATCGCAAAGAATGAGAATGAAGGTACTGCACTTTTTCTCTCTGGAGAAACAGATGCGGCCTTAGTTTAAGATCCTCAACGGGATCACAGGTATAGGGAGTGGATCCCAGAGGCTTCTGTATCTAAACGAAACCACCTTACTCCGAGGGAATGTCCTGAAGTTGGTCAAGGACATGGACAGGTGTCGACTGCGAGTGACATGCTCTTCGGTGAGAGTCCTCAACGTTTCGAATAAATTACTGAATGAAGTTGTCACCGCCATCTCAGTGACTGGCTTCAAATTCCGCTTGTGTAGTTTGTTTAACGTGCCAAGCCGATGAAGCCTGTCTCCCTCCCTCTCTTCTTTCCAGTGTCCTTATCCCTCCGCTTACACCCCAAAATCTCCTTACCGTGGACCGTCCCTTCTAGGCCTATTTTCCCATCCTTATGGGCTTCAAGATGTTGAGTGTGACTCCCATTATTTTTTTTTTAATACGTAACCAGTTACAGAAAACTGGTAAAGGTGCCACGACGTTTAAACAAAAAGAAATCTCAATGTGTTCATAGGTTGTGTTGGCATGTTACTTCCCGGTTTCCCTGACCGACGAAGGGGATTACCTCGGGTTCGTTACCCGAAGCCTTTGGCTAGAAAGTCAGTGTCCGCAGTTCATTGGGGGCCGGTGTCCAGTTCGTTGAATCGCACGCCCTTTGGACGGGGTCAGACATCCAAGGTGCCCCATTTACCCGGTGACCACTGTCGCAACTAGGAAGATGTACGTGTGTTCGTGCGCCTCTTTGTTGGTTTGGAATCAGGGTTTTTAGTCAACTCCCTTAGGTGAACTGCCAATGGTTAACCAACCCGTATGTTTGCTTTTCGTCCCCTCGCTTTGGTGGGAAAACACCGCCACGGGAAGGTAGTGGGTAAGGCTTCCTCAGTAGAGGCTGTCTGAGACGCTTTTTCACATAGGAACATATCGTGAGATGTAAAGGAATA